TAAGAAGGCTTTGTTACACCAGTGAAATTAAGTTTTTTTTAACTGTTGCAGATTCACAGGATGAATAAGTACTAACTTTTGGAGGCTGGGGAGGGACCATGCTGGAGGCGAAATCCAGGACCTCCTTGTACATGCTTCACAAGCACTCCCAACAGCACTGGCTTGATTTTATTTCATGGTAATAGCAAAACCAATGAACTGTCTGTCTCTTTAACCAGGAGTCTCAGCTGGTGGCCGGTGTGGCATTCAAGAAGACTTTCTCTTACGCTGGGTTTGAAATGCAACCTAAAAAGTATAATAACCCCATGATCGCCTTATTAAATGTTGAACTTGAGCTGAAAGCTGAGAAAGACAATGCTGAAATCAGAGTCCATACAGTGGAGGTAGGCACCATGGCATGGAAATGGCAGCTTTCTGGGCAGGGTTTCTAGTCTTCTTGGCTCTCTCAGTCCTCTGTCTTCCTGTCCCACCTCGGTATTGTGGGCTAAATACTGGGCCCACTATTCTCTACTGTGCTTTTTCTGACCTCAACTTGAGGCAATTTGGATGTGGAAGACCTGTTGAAATATTTAACTATTCTCCCAACCTCAGAATGGAATTGGCAGGAGCTATCTAGCTACACAGCCTGCCTAGAATTTTGATTCCTCTTCTTGGACAGGTGTGGGCTCCTTCCCTTCTTGACTGGGTGGGTCTCCTGCATTTCTGTGCTCCCATCATTATCAAGTTGCCTCTGGAACTAACAGTGGCACCCCGTGCAGGGTGACTTTAGGGAGGGGTTTGTCATTGGGAAGTCCATGGGTGCAGTACTCGAGGAGGCTTGGATTCACGGGGTAGACTGTTTTTCGTATCTGGCAATGCCAGTTCTAGCATAGCTCCATGGCCCAGGGTTACTTTTTGCTTTTGTGTTTAAAAGTATTAGGTGGTGTCTGTTCACCTGAAAGCAACCTTATTCATTTGGATTGAGAAATGGCTATTTTGTTTGCCCTTGTTAATTCCTACATAAATCATTGTTTTATTAGGAGGAGGGTAATATTGTAGCCAACTTCAATGACAAAACACCATCTTTTTCTGGGTCTCTAGGATTATCAGGCAATTGTTGATGCTGAGTGGAACATTCTCTATGACAAGTTAGAGAAGATCTACAATTCTGGAGCCAAAGTTGTTTTATCCAAACTCCCTATTGGGGATGTAGCCACCCAGTACTTTGCTGATAGAGACATGTTCTGTGCCGGGCGGGTACCTGAGGAAGATTTGAAGAGGACAATGATGGTAACGAAATTTTAACGAGCTGCTTCTTAACTTTTGTAGCTCTCCTGGGTTTTGTTCTATCCCTGATGTAGCGTTAACTTTTTTTCCCCCAGGAAGTTCTCTGTTCCCAGTATTTATGTACCTAGCGATACAGCTGCTTTAAAGTTTGTCTTAACTGGCTTCTCAAAGAATCCAGCAGTAAATGCTCTGATTATCCAGTCAACCTCAAGGAGTATTGCTTCTAGCCAGATACTTTCCCTTTCTTGAATATTTCATGAAAGTTGCTTTTAGATCTAAAGTTCTACTTGTAAAGTTTGCCGTTGGCCGTAAAGCATCTTAGTCTTAGGGAAAGAATGTAGGATAAAGTGAAAGGGTCCCTGTCTCCTTTTAACTGGGCCTGCTTACCTTTTATTTATTTTAGTTCTGTCCAGTTTTCTGCAATTCCATCAGGGGGTGGCCTCAGGGTTTTAAGGGACAGGATGGATTTTCCAGTGCACAGGGTTCTCAGGTCCCTAGCACAATCCAGCTTGAAACTGGTTTGAAGAGGGTGACAGGCAGTCAGCTGGCCTTTTCATGAGCCTTCTCTGCTAGATGACCTTGCTGTCCTTCACCTTAGGCCTGTGGAGGTTCGATCCAGACCAGTGTGAATGCTCTATCAGCAGATGTGCTGGGCCGCTGCCAGCTATTTGAAGAAACCCAGATTGGAGGTGAAAGGTGAGTGCATCTGGGCTGCCTATAGACTGAGCTCACACCACCAAACAGCCGTCTCCCATCTCCTGAGTGTGGTGTAGAGCTTGCACTGTTCTTTGTTGATATGTTGCCTTTTCAGGTACATAGAGTGTTAGAGGAAAGCAGAAGATCTAGTTAGGTCTTAAGTCTGACTCCATAATCACATCTTGAAGAAAATGTCTTTGAGGTTGGGTTTGGGTCACCTGGATGAAGAATAGAAGAACAGCTGCTGAGTGTTTGGAGGGCTTGGCAGAGAGAAAAACAGCAAAATGACAGCAGAAAGGCATTCACACAGGTATGATTTTATCCTGGGCGTAGGTACAATTTCTTCACTGGTTGCCCCAAGGCCAAGACTTGCACCTTCATCCTCCGTGGCGGTGCTGAGCAGTTTATGGAGGAGACAGAGCGGTCTCTGCATGACGCCATCATGATCGTCAGACGGGCCATCAAGGTATAGGCTGATGGCCTCCTGCCTGCACAGCCCATTCTATCTTCCTAGCTGATTAGACCCTGAACTTTGTGTGTTGATTCCTTCCCTGTATAGTTTGTCCTATTGTGGGTGACTTGGGGGGGACCTGATTTTTCCCACAAATTGTAGAAAAACTGAACTTCAGTCTGAAAAATGAGTCATGCTGTCTTATAGGCCAAGACTTATTCTTGTTAGTAAATTGTGGACTTGACTATCCTGGTGATTATGCCAGTGTCTTCAGGCTACATGTGACCTTAATGGTAATATTATGGTTCACCAGGTTGAAGTTGGGATGTGCTAGGAAAAGCCATGTCTGATCTTTTGGGGCTTGAATTGGGGGAGGGAATGAGGCACTGTCTTTTTCTGGGAGGATCTGCTGAGTGGCTCAGCTTGGACTTGCACCAGCCAGCACCTCTTGCATTGAAAGATGTTCTGGTTTCTATAGAATGATTCAGTGGTGGCTGGTGGTGGGGCCATCGAGATGGAGCTCTCTAAGTACCTGCGGGATTACTCAAGGACTATCCCAGGAAAACAGCAGCTACTGATTGGAGCATATGCCAAGGCCTTGGAGATTATCCCACGTCAGCTATGTGACAATGCTGGCTTTGATGCCACAAACATCTTGAACAAACTGCGGGCTCGGCATGCCCAGGTAGGTGCCTCCTCTTGTCACAGTCCAGGGATTGGGTAGATGGGGCTAGAGTCTCAGGCAAGATGTGCACATTATCCCAGGTGACTGGCTGGAACAAAATTCAGTACAACTGGGTAACTGCCTTCTGGGTGGTAAGACGACAGCTATGGTGTCAGCACTGGAAATAGCAGCTCTTGGGAGAGACGCAGAGCTCTTATGTGATCATGTCACATAAGTTACTCTCTTCCAACCCTGGACATGCTGATCACATAAGAGCTCTGCGTCTTTATGTGCGAAGAGATTCCTGTATGATGCTACAGGAAGATGCTGTCTTCCGCAGGGAACTGTGTCATGTTTGTGGAGCCTAAGGATTCCTGACAATTCCAAGTGTTTGGAGAAAAGAAGTTTGGGAGCAGTTTCCTACTGACCTTCTCTTTTCTTGCGCTTTCAGGGGGGCATGTGGTATGGGGTGGACATCAACAATGAGGACATTACTGACAACTTTGAAGCCTTTGTGTGGGAGCCAGCTATGGTGCGGATCAATGCCCTCACAGCAGCCTCTGAGGCTGCATGCCTTATCGTGTCTGTGGATGAGACCATCAAGAACCCTCGCTCCACTGTGGATGCTCCTCCAGCAGCTGGCCGGGGCAGGGGCCGGGGCCGCCTTCCTTGAGAGATCTTACCCATCACACTGGCTGGCAGCTGGCTGCAGGTGTGCTTGCCCTTCCTGTCTTGGTTCATTGGTGTTATGAAGTGGTAGTAACTGGTCTGCTCTGTTCTCACTGGAGGTTACTTAAATAAAGTTTAAGACTTAGACTTAATTTTGTAAATTATTTCGGCACCATAGTTGCATTTGTGACTTTAAGACTCCGTGCACCACCCAGCAGGTAGAGAAGAGAATTCTCTGTTGGCTGGAGTGAGTTCTACTAGAGTTCCTCTGTCTGGACGTTCCACTGTGGTTATATTCTTTATTTCAGAAGTGGCTAGCGTATATGGAGTTGCTTTTCTTCTGGCATTTTACTTAGCTCTGCCTCCCAGAGGTTCCTTGGTATGAGATGTCACATTACTTTGTCTGCTTCTTCCATGTTCACATTGTCTTGGCTCAAGAGTTTTTTCCCTCAGACCTAAAATCTTGAAGTTGAGAGTTTGGTGTGGAATGTTTTGGGAAGATTATATCCTCTCAGTTCTGGTGACCTCTTGAAGACATTGCAAAGGGAGCTGAAAGAGCATCTAACCAATCTTCCCTGTCCAGACACCAATGACTTTGTGGGTACATTCTGCTTTCATGTGACCATTCAGAATTGGGAATGACTGGCACAGATCAACTGGTGCTAATCCAGTGAAGTCTTAACAGCCATCTCAGTTGAACTGGTCCTGATAGCCAGTCTTAGAGCTAGAGCTGTTCTTAGTAATTAGAGGAGCTGGAGGCAAATGATGTTACCTTGAGTTACTGCGTTTGTGTTCTCTTTGCTAGTTTTGAATATTTTAGAAGCCCAGCCATCATATTAATCAAACAAGCCCATGTTATTAAAATGGGTAAATCTAGGCCAGGCCTTGGGAGTGAATTGGTCCCCCCTCCAGGCAAAGCCTAATTGGCTGACCAGTGCCTTCAGAAGTAGCCAAACCATCCAGGGAGGTTGGGGGTGGGAAACCCCTGCTGTTGTGCTAGATTTGTCTTTGAAGGTGACTCCTCCCAAATGAAAGAAATGATTTGTTCCAAGGCTCTTTGGATGCAGACACTGAAAGCAGGTGGGGCTGTGGCTTAGCAGTAATCTGGATGGCCTTCCTCCAGCACTGCTCATAGGCCTCAGGCAGGTGTTTCCAGCTCTTCACCCTGTGGGATTACCCGCCTTCTTTCTACCTCAGTACACTTACGCTGCAAAAAGGCTGTGGTTACAGAATGACAAATCCGGCCACATAACATTTACTTTCCTGGGGCAGATATACCAGTTTCACCATCTTTTATTGGATACAGAGCCATAAATTCTCTGATGCCCATGTGTCCTTTTTGAATACATATAGTCAGGTACATTCTGCAAAGGGCATCAATGGGTAATGTAGAGCAAAGTGCTGGGATGGCAATGCCTGGGTGGGGCAGAGAAGTGGGGCCAGGGAAGGCCCCCTGGGGGCTGGAGGTACAGGCACCACTTTAGAAATAAAAGTAAAATCCAAAGCTGTTCTCCACCCCTCTGCCTCATGTGCTTGGGGTGGGGGAAGTACCCACTCATGGTCAGGCCCTTGTGCAGCCTGGCTGTGGGGAAGGTGGAGCCTAAGAGCCAGTTGTGGAGGTCCCCACCAGCAGTGCCCTTTAGAGCCAAGCCTCCTGGCAATAGCCATGAGGCAGGCCTGATCACCTCAGACCTCTCCTCTGGATACAAGATCCATGCTGGGGTGGCAAAAGAGGCTTGACTTTTGATGGGGCACCTGCCTGATTGTCAGGGCAGTCTTGGGACTGGCTGAGGTCCCGACTAATTAGGGAGGAAGGCCCTAGTGATCTGATTTTTCACCCAATCCTAAACCTTATCCTCAGGCAAGGGCTACAGATGAGCACACTTGTCCAGGAATAAATACATACACACAGTACACAGCAATATATACAGAAATGCAGGCCTGGAACAAGGCTGGATGAGAAAGCATGGCCACTAGGGGTGGAGTGAGTTGCCAGGTCCCTGGGAGAGGGAAGTTAACGTTCATCCGGGACTGGCAGGTGGGGACAGATCCCATCCATCAGTGGGAGATAACTCCTCTGGGCACTTGGGCCATACCCAACTCACCATCTATAGTTTCCACTCCAGGTTTGCCAGGAACTGGGTCTTTGGCACCAACAATCATTCTGGAAAGGTCTTTATCCTAGCGCCTTAGAGGGATTGGGGTCCAGGGAGCTCCTCTCCTATAACTCAGAGGCCATGGCCAGGAGGGTGGGTAAAACCCAAAGGCAAAGGACCGTAGTCAAACCCTGGAGCAGCAGGCTTTGACAGGGAGTCTTTTTTTCCTTTTGAAGCCATTCCAGAGGAACTGACTCAACCTCTGCTTACAGGGTGCAGAAAAGTGAGTGGCTGTGATCTCAGTGGTCTCAGCCAGTGAAAGCAGGGGTTTAGGCAGTCTTTTTCCCTGCAGGGATTTATGTGTGTACATCTCTGCTTCCTGCCAGTGCTGTGGGAAGCAGGCTGAGGCATTAAGTACTCAGGCCAAACTTTAGGTGCCAGGGTTGGGTTGCATGGCAGGGGTACTAACTAGTAGTGGGGATACCAGTGACCGTCACCCATGGGATTGTTCCACAGGTCCCTGGACAGAGCTTTAATTTGTCCTCAGATTTTTTATTTTTTTGCATCTTACTAGGTATTGGATAAGGGCCTCAACTGGGTGAAGTTGGGATGAGGTGCTTCTAAATAAGTCAAGATCTGTGTCCCAGTTCCCCATCCTCAGCTAGCTCTGTGGTTGCCAAGGAAGTAAATGGAGCACCCCAGCAAGCAGAAGCTCCCACTCAGCAGCAGGGCTCGTCCCGGTAGGGAGAGAGCAAATGAATAACATCACGTGGGTGCTGTGAAGCTGCTGGTTCTAAGGGCATGCGTGAAGGCCAGTGTGTACGAACACTTGCCAGCCTGGGGGTGGGGGTACAAGAGAAGCTGTGACCTGGCATTGGGGTAGGCAACATGCACTCCCACATAGCCTTCATTCAGAGCCTGAAGATAAAAGGTGAACTTGGGTTTGTGGAACGAGGGAGACCTGTGGGAGGCGCACTTGCACCTGGCAGGAGAGGGGTCTGTCTCCCACCCCTAGTGCTCTCAAAGAATGCATAAAGAGGCAATACCAGTCCGTTTAGCACCACATCTCCCCACCTGTTGGTTGCCTGGACTGCTGCCCTCCTTCCCCAGTACTGACACCAGGCACTCCAGTGAGTACCACCCAGGAAGAAACTGCCTAGAGCTTTGTATTCAGGCAACCAAAATCCCTTAGTTGGGTGGGCTTAGGTCAAACAGGGCATCCCTTTGTGCTTTATCCAGGAAACGGAAGGCAGCACCTCTGGTCCTGGGTCAGAGGGAGCAGGGGCTGCAGGAGTGCAGTTGGCAATAAAAGACAGACACACCCAGGTTCTGTGGCTCTCCACCTTCCTTTCAGGCCCCTGGAGGAGAGGAATTGTGCTGCTGTTCTTTCCTGTGACTATTGGGGAGTGGGGAGGTGGGAACTGATGGAGACAGCTGTAGGGGGAGGGGTAGGGGTGCCAGAGGCCCAAGATTCATGTAAGACAGGTCAGGGAGTTGCCAATGTACCATCCTTGGCATTTCAGGTCTTAAAGGGCAGGGGTAGAACCAGCCACGGAAAGAAAAGTCAGATCAATGATGAAGAGCGCTAGGGGAGCTGGGTGCATTGCTGAGACCCAGAGCGAGTGGCACTGGACAACTTGGTACAAGGTAACCAGGGCTGGGTTTTGATTCCAGGCTAGGTTTTGGTAGAGATGGGTCCCTGGAGAGGATCCCAACTCCTGCCAGGACCAGCAGCCTATGGCCAGGGATGCAGCCTGATCGTGTACAGGAGCAAGGGAAACAAACCCTACTAGGTAAGATGTTGAAGTGACTGTCCAAGTGAAGGCTGGCATGACCCTGGGCTTCCGAGTCACTGTGGGAGTTCTGAGAATGGGGTCGGGTCTCTGAGCACGGTCTCAGTCTTTGGAGCCTTGGTGCCAGAACTTTGTCTTTTGGGCACTGTGCAAAGGGGCCAGTGAAAACCCCCACTGGCGTTCTGTGGCTTCTAAACCCCGAGGTAAAGACCTCATGCAGCCTCAACCCTTGGCAGATGGAGCCTGAAGAAGGGGGGAAGTCAGCTGAGGAGCCTCTTCCTTGGCCACAGCCACATCTTCAGCAAGCTAACTAGATAAGGAAGCAAAGAAAATCACCCTACAGGCCCCAGCTGAGTGGGCAGTGCAGTACTCCCTTTCAGACAACCTTGAGGACCTAAAGGCCATGGCTTCCTGCCGAAGCACCTGGATTAGAAGGAAATTCCTTCTCATTGCAGACAGGGCCTCCCAGGGGTGGGGCCTGACCCTCCTTTAGGTCCCTTGGGGATGAATGGTAGATTCAGAAACATGCACCTCTTAGCTCTGAATTTAGCTCTGGTGTGGTGGTGTACGTGGTGGTGGGGAGGAAGTCTTGTCTATAGTAGTAAGTTTTCTCCCGTAGAAGTTCCCTTCACCCTTTGAGAGGATTGCTCTCATCCTGGGGAGAAATTCTGGATGACACTTTCCCCTTCAAGCCCACCCACTGAGGACCCACCTTAGGCCTTCAGCTGACCACAGTGCCCTAGGCCTGCTTGGTAACCCTGGAGAATGTGGACCCAGAGGTGTAGTGAGCTGTCTGAAGCGGGTGTCGCACAGTGGGCTGGGACAGGTAGATGGAAGAGAGCCCTCCTTGCCAAGTCTGACCTGTCTCATGGAGCCCCTGACCACACAGCAAGGCCCCAGGAGGATAAGGCCTGCCTAAGTAGCTGAGGAGCCTCTGGGTGGTTATTGCAGATCCTCCAGACGATGACACCAGGTGCTGGTGGTGACAGCTCCTCTGTGGCTGTACCAGAAAGCTGCTCCAGCTGGGAATAGGTGGAGGTTGGAGGGCACCTTCTGTCCAAGCCCCTGCCCCTGGGAGGCAGTGTCCTCAATCAGGCCTGTAGCTCCACTGTTCCAGAAGGATAGGACATTCAACCCTTCCCTGGAAGCTGGAGTAACACTAGGCCACCGAAGGTCTAGTCCAACCAAGGTCCCTCTGGAGTCCAAACAGCGCCTTGGTATGGGGCTGGCAGGGGCCCTGCCGCCCCCACCCGGGTTAGCAGCCACCTTCCACCTTGATGTGCAGGATCTTAGAGAAGCCGGGCCTCCGTCGCAGGGCCTGCAGACCAGACCCTGGGTTAGTTGTCTCTCAGAGACAGGTAGGTGGAGTCCTGCCATGCTCATGCAGGCCACCAGCCCCAGCCTGTGGATTTCACTTGGGGTCTTGGATCACCTTGAAGCTAATCTCTCACCTGGAGTTTTGTCACCATATCCTCAAACAGCTTCTGGGCCTCAGGGCTGCTGGGCTCCTTGAAATAATCAGCAATCCCAATCTGGACCACAATGGACTTGAGGTTCCGGCAAATGCCTGGGAAAAGGTGGATAAGGAGGCCAGTGTTTGGCTTCGGCCATGGGGCTGCCTCCTCCTCTTTAACTAATGAATGAGATCAGACCTTTACTGAGAAACAACTGTGTGCTAGATACTGGGACCACGAAGGGCAAGCCTGTGCTGGCCAGGGTGCACAGCTGGACGAAGGAGGTGGATGACGGCACAGTAGGAGGGGTAGGTAACAGTCAACTGCTCAGAGGCAACTGGTCCAGCAGAGAAGACTGCAAAACCACTTGAAAATAACTTACAAGGAGCACAGTGGCTGAGGTAAGGCTCACACACAGGCAGGGACGATGGTGAGCAAACTGCCATGGGAGCAGAGGGCAAAAAGGGCTGGTGGGGAGAACAGGAAGGTAGGGACTGAGGGGCCTGGAGGGCATGATTTCAGGGGCCACGTCAAGCCATCAGAGGAGTGGAAGAAGAGGAGGGGACTGGAGCAGGGAGTGGAGAGGAGGGTCCTGCAGCTGATAAATCTGGCCTCCCAGGGACCATGTGGTCATGGAACAGCCTAAGCAGGGCACTCATGTCCTCACCTTGAAGGCAGAACACTGCCTGAAAATGGGTGGCAAGAGGAAGGTGGGGAGACAGAAGGCATGATTTGAGGTCCAGGGAAAAGAAAGTCCTTACCCTAAGAACTGCCGTAAGGGGCTTACACATTATGCCGTAATTTCCTGCCACCTCCATCTTCCTAGAACCGATGGCAAACCTATGGCATGTGTACTGCAGTGAGCATGCACAGCCCTCTCTGTGATGATGTCATGAACTAATATGAGTTATTTCTTCTAAAGTAAACTCAAGCCAGGCATGGTGGCACACGCCTATTGATCTCAGCATCTGGGAGGCTGAAGCAGGAGGATCGTTTTGAGTTTGAGACTAACCTGGGCTACAAAAGTGAGCTCAAGGGCCCTCCAAATGCATAGCAAGACCCTGACTCAAGACAAAAATAAAATAAATAAAATAAACTCTCAGCATTCAGGTTTAATTGTAGGTTTTGGGCTGCAGTGTGGACATAGTCTCAAAAAGGTTTGCCGTCACTGTTCTAGAAGATGGGAATACAGGATTCTGAAGCAATTTCCCTGAAAGTCACAGCTAATAAGGAACAGAGCCAGATGTGGAACCTAGGGCAGTGCTGCTCCAAAACCTATGCCCCTAACCTGTCTGCCCTGGCTAGAGGGTCACACGAGACCAGTGGTAGTGCATGGCACAACAGGTGTTTGTGGAACTGGACCAGAGGCTGGAGGATCTGGAATATCACACCGGCCTGAGCAAGGGCTGGTGATAAAGCCAGAACAGTACCCCAGGCAGCATCCCCAGTGCTGGTGCTCACTGATTAGGAGGGATGGGGACTTGGTTTTGCTACTTGCTGTAGGGCACGGTGAAGACACAGTCATATCTTGTCCTTCATCCCCTATTACTCACTGTTGAAATGCAACAGGGCCTTAGGGGTGACAGGGGTGGCCGTGAGCACTAGCATCTCCAGTCCCTTCAGGCCTTCTCGGCAGACCTCAGCTGCCACCTCCTGGGTGATCTCTGACACGTGGTCCAGCTCTAAGACCTGCAGCCGCATACAGTTTCTTGCTAGAAAGAGGAAGAACAGAGGCCTTGCTGACACACCCTCCAGGTCACCTGCCGCCTAGCACCCTAGGTCCCCAGCCACCACCCTGGCTGCAGCCTCAAACCCATGTGGAGTTTCACAGAGCAGACTTGCACTCTTGCCTGGTTCTCATCATGCCCCACCTTAGTCCCAAGGGAAAACTCACCAAGTGATGCCAGGCCCTGCACCCCACAACCGGCGCCCCCAACCCCCAGGGCCCGGAGGTGAGGCCAACAGCGACCAATCATCTGCAGGCAGCGGTTACTGAAGCGAGTAGGCTGCTGGCTGGAGAATGGAGAGGGACATCAGTGAGGCCTCGGGATGCCTGGCATCCCAAATATGCTCCTCCCTGGGGACCCCTCCTTGCCCCAGGCAAGTGTCCCAACAACAACTCAGCTGGGAGAGCCAGGAATCAAATTATGGGATTCTTTACACCTCAACTACTATATCTTGCAGCTTCTGGCTCTTCAATAACTCCGGAACCACAGTTCAGACCCTCACTGGCATTCTCCTAGACTACCAGTCTCCCTGGCAGTTCATGTTCCACACTGCTGACAGTGCCCATTCATTCCTACAGCTACTTAGTGTCAATCAGCAGATGGTTATCAAGTGTCTGCCATGAACTGAGAACAACTCAGTCAGGCCCTGAGGGTGCAGGGCTAACAATATAGACAGGGTCCCTGTTCTCAAAGCATAGATAGTTCATTACACAGAACATTAGCAATCTGATCTCAATCTCCTTTTAAAAAGCCAAACTTCCACTAATAGCTTCCCAGTACTTTCTAGATAAAATGCAAAAATCTAAACCCCTTAGCAAGGGTCCTTCCAGGCCTTGCCTGCCCTGCCTTTCCATACTTGGTTGGGTCTGCCGCATCATTCCACACCAGACTTGCCCTTTTCCCTGAACCCCATCCCTCAACGTTCATCCAAGTGGCAGACAACTCTTTGGTACCTGCCATATATTTGGTACCAGGGACACAGAAATGGGCATTTAAAGATTCTGCTGTTGACTGAGCAGATCTGATCTCAGCAGACCTGCTGAGAACTGTGTGATTCTACATAGGAGACTGAAATAGAAATGACTGCAGTAACCAGGCATTGGTGGTGCATGCCTGTAATGCCAGCACTCCGAAGGCTGAGGCCAGAGGATTGCTATAAATTCGAGGCCAGCCTAAACCATAGTGAAACCCTCAAAAAAGACAAAAAAAGAAAGGAAAAAAAAGATAGCAGGACAATGTACAGTGGGAATCAAGGCAGAAGTGCTGTGATAGATTCCACCAAAGTGTTAGTGAAGGCACACTGGGTGGCCTGGGAGAAGCTCTCATGTGGAGATAATGCTTACAAGGTAAGGCATATGGCACAGAAAAGGATGGTTGCTGGAGAAGCTCAAAATAGAGTGAGGGATAACTTCACATCTTGGATTCTCCAAAAAGCAGCTCATGTGAATTAGACAGTGACCCTGAACTGTCTGTCATGTGTGGAACAAATCTGGTTGTTTTTAGATAGTGTTTACTGAACACTGTTGTAGGCCCTGCAGGCTCTGGGGATATAATCTCATTGGAGTTGGCACTAAAATCTCTGGACAGCCCTTATAAAGTTGGTAAGCACTTAATATACCTTCGCTTTGCAAGCTGAGAAACAGACATGGTTGGGCTGTCCAGAGTGGTACTGCCTCTAAGTTAGGGCAGACCTCCAGGTCTGATTTCTTTTTTTTTTTTGTCTTTTTCGTTTTTATCGGTACCAGGGATCGAACTCATGACTGCCTGCTTGCAAGGCAGGTGCTTATGCCGCTGAGCTAAATCCCCAGCCCCCAGGTCTGATTTCAAAGTCCTGCTTCCACTGCCTCAATGCACAGATTATTACTGTGAGTGAGCCCATCTCCCAAGCAGCTTACAGAAAGGCCTCCTATCTGCTCAGTCTTCAGTCCCAGACTAGGTTCAAACATGTTCCCTCCCCACCCACTCCTGTGTGGGCTCACCAGGGGTGAAGAGGTGCCACCTGGAGGGAGACGATCTCTCTGCAACCTGCACCCAGGGCCCAAATGACCTCATGGCCCACGGGGTCTGTGGCACTCCTGTTGAAAAGAAAAACTGGAGGGGCCCACCATGGTGGCTTCTGCTCCTGCCAAGGGTTCCTTCCCTTGGGCCACAGAGCTCTTAGGTCCCTCCACCTGAGACCTGGGGGGAAGGTCATGCAGTGTCTAGGGATCCCTGAGGCTCAACACCAAACGGGCATGGGCTTGCTTCTGGTGGGGGGACCCACCTGTAGGTAACGGCCTGCAAGGCACGGCAGTAGCAGCTGGCCAGCCAGAGTGAACGGTCAGTGAGGATGTTGGGACAGTGGGAGATGCGCAGGATCAGCAGGTTCCCCCCTGCTGCCTTTAGCAAGGACTCCAGCCCTGCTTCAAGGCAGCCCCTGGGGACAACCAAGAGGTCAAGGAACTGCCTGCATCACCTCCTCCTCTGGGAAGCATCCCCACTTGGTTCACGTCTGTGGCCCAGGAACGCCCACCCCATGCAGGCCTCACCGGGTGCTGCGGGCATACTCCTCCTTGCTCTCTTTCTTTCCCCGCTGTCGGGGCTTAAGGTTCTGGAGTGTCAGTGAGTGGGCCTGGGTACACCACTGAGCCAGCATTGCCAGGAACTGTGGGGAGATAAAGGGTTCTTGGAGAAAAGGGGCCTGAACTTGGTTGGCTGGAGATGGAACCCCCCTGACAGCCTTTTGTCAGGGGCCAGGCTACAGATAGGGTGCTCTAAGGGTTGCAAGTCCTGATTTTGCCAAGGGAAAGGAGCTGCCCAGCAGGGTAGGGACAAGCACCTTGGAACAGACTCGGGCATTCTCGAGCAGCACCCTTGTCCAGACGGCAGGGTGTCGGGCCACAAAGCGCCAGTCCCGGCAAACCTCAGCCGCATGCAGGAGTGTGCGTGTGTCCAGGTAGGTGAAGATGCAGAACAGGGCAGCTCGCATCTTGAGGATCTCTGGGCTGATGACCTCGTTGGAGCACGAAGGACTACTCCTCTCAGCTCGCCTGCCTCGCCCACTGCCTCCCTCAGGGCGGGCTACAGAATACAGATCAAAGAAGACAGTGGTGTCAGAGGCCAGTGTGAGGATGTTGGCCAGGACCTGGGGCAGGACAGGAGCTTCAGGAAGAATGGGCACGAGAGACCCATGCTGGGGACTAGTGCGCTGGGAAGGAGGAAAAGGAGCCTCTGCTGTCCCATACTATGGTACCTTGACTCTAATTTTACAAATTAAGAAAAAGTACCCCACCCTCATATAAACCCCTGACCCTAAATCACTCACAGATGTGCATGGCCTGGGAGCAGATGGGAGGGGCGCTGTGCCTCACTGTGCCAGGGGCTTCGGAGTCTGTAGTCCACGCCCAGACCCTCTCTACATGTTACAGGGCCCACTGTGTGCCCTGACCCCTTCAGGGGCAGACTTGAGCACCCGCTCCACAGCAGCCCTGTCACATAGTCTCTGTATGTTGTAAGTGGTGTGCGTGAGTCAGGGTGGAGGTGGGGGGCAAGAGGAAAAGAGATGCAGGCGCCCTGGAGATTCACTGCCTCTGCCCTGTGTTGCTGAGAAGGCCCAGTACTGTGGGGAAGGCGGCCTTTCCACCCCCTTCCAGGACTTACCTGACAGCCTGCAGCTGCTCAGCGGCCCGGCTGCTGCAGGCCCCGAGCGAGGGACATCTGAGGGGCCCTCGGCCTCTGACTCAGTGGTTCGGGAGCCCACGTCTGAGACATCACCCTCTTCACCCTCAGTACTGTGTCGGCGGGGTCTGCGCTGCCAATTCTGGATGGCCTGGCGCCGCAGGCCTGAGCTGCGAGGAGGCTGGGCCCGCTCTGAGCCACCATTGGTAGCTTGGGGCCGTGAGCCCAAGCCCCCAGGGCCACTGTCCTCAGGGGCCCCTTCCTCTTGCCGGGGCAGCTCCAGACTGTCACTGTCATAGCAGCCTGAACTCTGGGACGCGGCTGGCACACGGCTGGAAGCCCTGGGCAGGGTGGACCCAATGGTGAGAGGCAAGGGGCACCAGGCTTCCCAAGCTCCCCACCCTACCCCTACCACCAGCAAAGGGCAACCCACCCTGCTCCCCAGCAGCTCTCTCTGAGTGTGGAAAAGAAGACAGGTAACCCATGAAGGATGGGCACAGGAGGAGGCAAGTCCCCAATGGGCCCGTGCATCTTTCCAGGGTACAGGTGGGCTGTGTGGGGCAGAACAGACCTGAGGCTTACCCTGTGCTGGGAGAGGAGCCATGCCGTGACACTGCGTATGTGCTAGGCATGGCTGGGCCTGCATGGTGTTCTCGCTGTGGACCCCAGAGCAGATGGGGAAGGACGAGTGGACAGAGGAGGCAAGATGGTGACCAGGCAGTATGAGAGAGACAGCATAAGATGGAGAAAAGAGAGGAAGGAGAGAGAAGGAAAAAAGTTGGGGAAGATGGACAAACAGACAGCCCAAACAGGCAGGTTCACCAGCCCCCTCCCCACACCCACCCAGCACCCAGATCCTGAGTGTGGCTCCTGGGCTCTCAATTGCAGGGATGGGAAGAGATGGACCCCTGAGGGCTGGGCTGCTAGACCACACCTTCCTATGGCTTCACAGACTGGCACTTCTGCCCAGAGAGGCACCCTGTTCCTGAGTCTGCTCTCAAGGGAAGAGTCAGGGAATGGGAAGCACTCCAAGCGGTGGGAGGCTGTACGTGAGTGCAGGCTGTGGGGGCCCAGTGACAGGCTGAGGGGCAAGGGGCACTCACCATTCTGCCTGGGCCCCGGGCCCCAGGCCCTGCGCCACTGCCCCCACCTCCACGCCCCAGGCTGGCGCTGGGTGTGCTGCCACAGCTGCTGCTGATGACCTGCAGCTGCCGCTCAGCGCGGTCAGCGCGTTCCAGGAGCTCCTCGATGAACTGCTGCAGTCGCAGCTTGGCACTTGCCTCCCGTGCCGCCGTCTCCTTCAGGAACTGATCGATCTGCACCACCTCCCTGGGCCCAGAGCAGTCTCTTACCCGAGGGCCTCACCCTGGCTGTCCCCCACCCTCTAGAGGACAGTCTGGCTAGTGGGAAGACACAGGGCCCAGCTGCTGATGGTCACACAGGGCCATATAGAATAGGCCTAGCACACAGCCCCATACAGTGACACACACACACACACACACACACACACACACAGAAATGCAAACACACATGGAGTCACACATTCATAGTCCACCTAGCTCTAAACACACAACTACACACAACAGTCTCTCTCTACACAGGAATACTTGGAGGCACACACAGTCCTACACTCAGCCCTTAACCATGTCCAGGCTCACACAGAGCTTATACCTCTATTCCATACCTCGACACGCTGGGTTATACAGGAATGAAGAGACATTCCCAGTTACCTGTGGCCTCAACACACAGCCATGTACACCTGTCGCTGCACCTGGACCCATACATAGCACCCAGTGCAGCCCCACACTATTATCATTATTATTATTGGTACTAGGAATTGAACTCAGGACCTTGCATTTGACAGGTAGGCACCGTGCCACTGCCCTATATCCACAGCCCTCCCCACACATTCTTATACATGTCCTCATTCTTATTCTCAGGCACATACTTAGTGTAAGACATGCAGAAAACCCTGGAGGTAGAGGCACACAAACACTTTGACACACACATTCTTTCAGAAACACTCCAAAATGCACTGTCACTTAGATGCAGAAACAGAGTCTGCACCAACCACTAGGAGTTGTACTAACACACAGCACACCTACCGTTCCTTGAGTGTGTTCTCACAAATGCATGCGTTCACACATCCGTTCAACACTTACTGAGCACCTTCCAGGTGTGAGGCACTGTTCTAGGTACTGAGGAAACTTCAGTGAACAAAAATAGAAAACCCCTGCCTTCTCAGAGTTTATATTGAATGGAAACAGAGCAACCAACACCTACATAGTTCATAATCCTACAGCCTATAAGACCAAAAAAGTAAGGAGAAGCCAACAAAGAACAATGAGAAAGAGCAGACAAAGAGACAGAAGGAAATCCAGGGACAGTTCCCTGAGAGCCAACTGAAGACAAGTGTTTAAAGATCAGCTGAGCCAAGTGCTGTGGGCTAAGATGAAGATGTGGCCTCACTAACATGAAGTGACAGGAGGACAGAGGTGAGGGTAGAAACCCGATCAGAGTGGGTCACAGAGAAACCCGAGGAAAGAAACCACAGGCTGGAGTATAAGGGCTACTTTCAACCAGTTTTTTCTATAAGGAGGAGAAAGGGGAAAGCAGCTTAATGAGGAAGTGGAGTTACGGCAGGTGAGAGAAATGACATCAGGTCTGCAAGCTTTTAGGAGTGATTAGGTAGACAGGGAAAACCGTGCAAAGGAAACACAAGAGGGAAAACTGGGCTGTGTCTTTGAGGAAGTGAAAGGAAAGATGATACGATGCCCAAATGCAGGTGTTGGCCTTGGCTGGGACAGAGAAGGACAAGAAACAGCCAGTCAGCTGGGCATGGTGTGGCACACTCTTGTAACCCTTGTACTCTAGGAGGCTGAGTAGGATTGAAATAAAAATAAAAAAGACCCAAGAATGTACCTCAGTGTCAAGTGGAGGCCTGGAATTAATTCCCAGTACCAAAAACAAAAAGCAAAACAAAACAACAGCAACAAAAGCACTTTAAATCACAGTATTTAAGCCATTGTCACATGCCTGTACTCTGGGAAGCTGAGGCAGGAAGACTGCAAATTTGAGCCCAAGCAGAACAATTCAGCAATCTGGTAAGCCCCTGTTTGAAAAAGTGGGCGAGGCTGGGCATGTGGCTCAGTGTGAAGGCCCTGGGTTGAATCTCCAGTGACAAAAGAAAAACAAACATCAGGCAGTCTTCATAGACAAGCATGTGGTTCCACACACACTACCTAACACCGTTGGCTCCGCAGGAACCACGATTCCATGCTCACCACCACAGATCCCATACTACAGCACCATGGGCACACGCAGACACTCAGGGTGGAGCCGGCAACGTGACACAGGGACACACCCCAGCAGACCGAGCGCCTACTCACTGCTGCTTGCGGTTCAGTTCCTGCTCCTTGTGCACCAGGTCCTGCTTGAGGGAGGCCAGCAGCTCCACGCTCACGTCCACCTGGCGCGAGAGCTCGGACGCACGCTCCTCCAGCTCCTCCTTCTCGCGTCCCAGCCGCGCGCTCTCTTGCCGAGCCGTCTCCAGCTCGGCGGCCTTGCGCTCCAGTTCTGCCTGCAGTCGGCCCACCTGGCCCGCGATCTTCTGCTCCACCTCCTCGCTCAGCCGCTCCAGCCGCCGGTCCACCTCAAGCTTCTCCAGTGCACGGATCTTGAGGCGCGCCAGGCCCTCCTCGTACGCCACATCGGCGGGCGAGGGGGACGCCGGCGAGGCGGAAGCGGGCCCAGAGCATGAGCCAGGGCCAGGCCCGGGCGGTGGTGTGGAGCAAGCCGAGGACGCCACGGACTTGCGGGCGAACAGCTCCCCCAGGGGGATCTCGATCTCGCGCAGCGCATAGCGCGCGGCAGCGGCGGGCACGAGGCCTGGTTCGCCCAGTTCCTCGCAGGGCAGGCTGGCGGGCACCAGGTCGCCGGGAAAGTGGGCGAGGGGCGCGTGATGGTGGTGGTGGTGCAGCAGGTGTGGTGTGGCGGGTGCCGGCCCAGCCGTCTGCTCTTTGCCCTGGAAGGACGTGCTCTCGAAGACCTCGCGCCGGGCACCGGGTACGGCCAGCAGGGCGGCGGGCTCGGGCGCCAGGGGAAATCCTGAGGCCGCTGCGGCGGCAGCTGCAGCAGCTGCGGCTCCATCGCATATGCTGTTGGTCTTGGAGAGGATGTACAGTGTCTCATACGTGTGGCTGTACTCCAGGTGCGCGCGCAGCGACGATAGGCTTCGGAAGCGCTTGTGCTCCCCGCAGCGGGGGCAGCGGTAGGGCAGGTCCAGCGAGGCCATGGCCCCGCTGCCCCCGCGGTGTGCCGGCTCCACCGCGGCCTCCGCTGGTCAGCCGGGGGCGCTCATGGGCGGCTGCGGGTGAGCCCCGCTGCGGGATCAGGAAGGATCAGGGCGGCTGTGGCCAGGGCTGAGGTGGCTAGAAGAGAGGGAATAACGCTTAGCAGGCTAGTGTCCCACGCACCCCTCCCAGGCTTGGTGCCCTATTCCCCTACTCAAGGAAAAACTGATTTCCCCAGGAAACTGGTGCCCAGAACAGTGGGGCCAGGGGAGACCAATGGCCACGCAGCCCAGAAGCAGTGCCCTGCTCTCACTGGTACCTGTACAAGGGCCTGTACATGTGTCAGAGTAAAATAGTGAAAGTTCTTTAGGGAATTACGTGATTTTGTTTACTTTTGTTCTAGCCTAGAAATAACCCATGTACTCATTAACAGTAGAATGGGTAAATGGTGATATATTCATAAGGAATTACCATCCACTAGTAAGAAAAGGAACTGTTGATATGCACAACATGAATTAATTTAGTTCTATGCTACAGCAAAGAAGTCAGACCCAAAAGTGCATACTGCACAATTCCACAGAGATGGAATCCCAGAACATACCAAATTGATAATGACGTAAGTCAGAGTAAAGGTTATCCTTCAGGGATATATGGACTGGGCTGAGCAGAAGGGTATCTTTTATGATGCTGAAATGTTCTATATCTTAATGTGAATAGCGCTTACATATGTAGATAATCACCAAGATGTCCCAAATTAGTGGCTTATATGTATTTAATGTATGTTACATCTAAGAAATCCTTGGGGCTGGGGATTTAGCTCAGCGGCATAAGCACCTGCCTTGCAAGCAGGCGGTCACGAGTTCGATCCCCGGTACCGATAAAAAGTTTTTTAAAAAAAAATCTAAAAAATCCTTAAAAGAAGTGTGCATGCCTATAATCTCAGCACTTGGGAGGCTGAGGCAGGAGGATTGTCATGAGTTCATGAGTTCAAGACCAGCCTGGGCTACATAGTGAGTTCAAGGCCAGCCTGAACTACATAGAGAGATAGTGTCTCAAAAAAACCAAAACAAGGGGCTGGGAATTTAGCTCAGCGGCATAAGCACCTGCCTTGCAAGCAGGCGGTCGTGAGTTCAATCCCCGGTACCAATAAAAATGAAAAAGATAAAAACAAAAAAGGTGCTTATTTTAATCTCATATGAACTATACCTACCACACAGGCTGCCTGCAGTAAGATGCCACGGGGGCACCTGATGAAACCTGTGCATGTCACCGCAAGTGCTGTCCGTGCCTGTACCACACTGAACCATCCCTGCTACTCCCGCCACCTAAGTCCTTTTTGCAGATCTGGCAAATGTTAGGTAGCTCTCCAGTAAGTGTCTTTGTCGAACTTTCACTCCAAGAGCCGTATTGTGTGTCTTCCCCACACTGTTTCTGGCTCACATCCTATCCCTATGGCATCCTATCCCTTTCACTCTAAACTCCTGCTGCCCCCTCTCTGCCCATCTCTGGCTTCCTGTCACCCTTCCCCTACCTTGTGGGGTCTCTACCCTCTTCTGCAGTGCTGTCCTTTTCTTAATTTCCTGCACTTAGGCTCCAGCACCCTCTGCTGTCATTACAATCCTCAGGATTCCAGACCCCCAGCTACTAATTGGATAATGTGGTTACATCAAGAGCCTTCATTCATTTGGTCCCTTGGCTGACACTCTTCACTCCTCTAACTTCTTAGACTGCCACAATGCTGTTTCAGTTTGCCTCTGGCTTCTGTCACTTCCTGTTCTTGCTGCCTTCCAAAAATTACTGTCTCTTTGTGGGGTGATCTCTCAACCCCACCCTCCAGGAGTCTGGTTCACTCCCACAGATTTCACTCACACCTCAAAGCTGCTGAATGTCAGCTCTGCCTCCATCCTGACCTGCTCCTGAATTCTTCTGCCATTTTCACATGGGTGTATGGATAAATAACTGTTCCCTTTGCCACCCAGCACTCATCCCTCTTCATAGTATCTGCACCCTGCTCTGACCTTGGGAACTGTCTTCCCTGACTACTTGCTCTGTCTGTCCATGTGGCCTGGGAGTTGTGACATGGCCAGGCCTATCAGAGTCTTTGGGATTGGCACATAACACCCAAGTTGACTCCAAGACTGTCTGGAACTACCAAGAGGAGGTTTCTAAGGTGGGGATGTATTAGGACCATCTTTATCACTTTTTGGGAGAAGCCATCTGGGAATTAATTCATTCAGATAAGTGAAACTGAGATGGGAAGAGAATTTCTTACAGATACTATATAAAACTCTGGCCTGTTCAATTATGTGAACTAATTAATTGTCTTTTTACCTAACTTACCTGTTGGATCTGTACTTATATCAGGAACAAAAATCCTACTCAAGAAACTGGGATTATGGGCTGAGGATTTAGTTCAGTGGCACAGGCGCCTGCTTGGCAAGCGTGAGGTTGTGAGTTCAATCCCCAGTACCAAAAAAGAAAGAAAGAAATTGGAATTACAGACAAAATTTTCTTTTGCAAATAATAAGTTCTAAAATGGAATTAGCTGAACTAAGGACTGGCATAAGATGGCATGGCTTCCTGCACTGCCCACTCTGAAGCTGGTGAACCCCATCATGCAGCAGCAGAACAGCTGATTAAACTGTTTCTCAGGGCCTCTGGAGCCAGTCTTCATGTACCTATGAAGACTGGACCTCTGGGAGACATATAGGAAAATGGCAGGATGTTGGCAGTGTGATCTTTCCTGTAGCCTCAGTCAGGTCCAGCAAGAAAGAGACACACTCTGGTTGACTAGGGCCCATCTGAAAGCAGAGGAAGAAAATGGCTTGTTAGGAGAGGCCCTTTCTGCCTGAGGCCAGTAACTCTATATGGCTGAGAGTCAGATAATTAAGAGCCACTTCTGTGCTTCTAGCTAAAGTCAGCTCAAGCAGAGACAGGGAGGCTGGAAACTCAAAGGGAGAGCAGCCTGGAGGCTGGCAGCCTCTTGACTCCTTAGGCCCTGCTGTGCCCTCCCAGCACCACAGAGGTTTCCATTATAAGCAGCCTTTTGTTGAGATGTAGCCTGAGAAGGAAGAGGCAGAGCTCCGCTTCCAGCCCAGCCAGGGATTAGGATGGGCCTTGTGGCAGAGGCCCACAGTGAGGCCCCCGGAACCCTGGGCTCCCTGGATGGGCGGGGCACCTGGGCCTGTTGCTAAGAGACACCCCTCTTCTTGCTCACCACCACCCCAGGGACTTCATTCAAGAGTACTAACTTTGGATAAGGTCTTTAGCTCTGACTAATGTTTCCAGGGATGACAGAATACAAATTGACTGAGAAGTCTCCTAATGATTAATGGAACTGTATTACCAGAAACCTCGCAAACCTGGAAAGCAAAGGCGAGACTACTCACCCCTTAAAACTGTTCCTCCATGTCCCCTAACGTGCACCCCTTAATGCCCCGTTCATATGTGGCCACAGGACACCGAGACAGAGACAGCAGAAGCAGGCAGCTGGCCGGAGAGCCAGGGAACCTCTTCCTTGCCTTTAGTCAAGGGTGGGAACAAGAGGGAACATTTGTCCTCCTCTTGCCTCTTCAAGGAGACATTTTGTTCTTTCAGCTGTCTAATGTCCCTCTATCACGGTAGTCTGGCCACAAATTGAAAGGCACTGAGGGGCTAGCTTCCTACCTAACCAAACAGGCCTTTTGAAGGTCTTGAACTGGGGCTGAGGATGTGGAATGGCTCCTTCCAGATATGGGCCAGCCAGGTTCAAGTCTCGTGTGGAATGACTGCATTATAATAAACTGGGAAATATTTTTAAAATTACCTAGGATGGGTGGCTGGAGATTTAGCTCAGCGGCATAAGCACCTGTCTTGCAAGCAGGCAGTCATGAGTTTGATCCCCGGTACAGATAAAAAGAAAAAAGAAAAAATATTTACTGTTTTTACTGACCCCCAATTTTCTCTTGGAGAACCATTTCGCCCACTATGAATGGATTTGGATGGGGGACCAACCATTCACTCTAGAACAGCACATGTGACCCTCAGTCTGTCTCATTAGAGATCAGGTCCGTCATGCACATGTGGGCCAGTGTAGGCACCCCAGGACCTGTGCTCAGCTGGCAGGATAGGAGCCTGTGGAGCTGCTTGTGGCCACTTCTGACCTCTTTTGGGGAGAGAAGAAAAGATTCCTGCTGATTTCACTTGAATAGCTATATTCAGATGCACCTGAAACTTTCATCCAGGACTTGTCAGTTACAAGGAACAATGCATTTTTTGTAGCTTAAAACATTTCAGTCAGTTGCTGGTCTCCAGTAATGAGTCTCCAAGTGACCACAATGCCTCATAACGTCAAAATCAAATTCTAGACTTTCCCTCATCCACTCCTTTCATTTCCCTTTAGCAATGCCACTGTCCTCCCAGCCATACCACTGGCTATTGTGATTTTTCTTTTTTGAAACAGGGGCTCACTATGCAGTTCGGGCTGGCCTTGAGTTCATTTTGTAGTGCAGGCTGGTCTAGAACTTGCAACAATCCTCCTGCTTCAGCCTCCTGAGTGCTGCAATCACACTACCACGCTGGGCTTCCTACTGGATTTTCTTTGGAATACTTTTAATCCTTTTTTTTGGGGGGGGGCAAGACCCAGGGATTGAACAACCAAGGGCCTTTGCTCTGAGCTATATCCCCAGCCTATTCCCCCAACAAGTTTTTGAGGCAGGCTGGGCTTGAACTTGCAATGTTCCTGCCTTAGTTTCCCACAGTGCTGGCATTATAGCTGTGTGCTACTATGCCTGGCTTTAGTTGCTCTCTCCTTGTCCCTTGCTCTCTGAGGTCACACCTCCTCACACCTGGGATGCTGCCCCAGTTCTCTTCCAGTCTCTGTAGGTGCCAGACCCCTCTTTCTGCAGATGATTTCCCGCTTAGACTCCATCAGTAATTCTCCATCATCTACCAACTGCAGCTGAACTTCTCTGCTTCACTCTCTGGCCCTACTGTACTCTTACCAATTTAAAAATGAAAACACAAGGGCTGGGGATTTAGCTCAGCGGCATAAGCCCCTGCCTTCAAGCATGCAGTCGTGAGTTTGATCCCCAGTACCACCAAAAAAAAAAAAAAAAAAAAAAAATGAAAACACAACTGCTTGCATTTCTTTGATTACCACGGTTGGACATTTTTCCATACACCTGTCAGCCATTACATCTCTTTGGTCATTTGTACTACTTTGTTCATTTCCACACTGAACATTCAACATTAGCTGATTGATTTGCAAAAGCTTTTCATAATATTGATCCTTATTTATATACTGCAAATGTTTTCTCAAATATGCTGATTGGCTTTTACTTTTGTTTATGGTTTTTATTGATATACTAAAGTTGTTTTTTTTTTTTAATATCAGGAATTGAACTCAGGATCAGGCAGGACCAGAACTATTTGCCAGGCAGGCTCTTGTGCTGCTGAGCTATAGTCCTGGTCTATACTAAAGTTTTAAGGTATGGTTTAGTAAAAATCTTTATGAGTTCTGATACTTACGAAGTCTGTTCCTACCCAAAGATTATATTAGTTATGTATATCTTCTTTTGGTATTTGTGATTTCATTATTTTAAATTCCAGATTTGAAAATAAAAACTAGTACTTTAAACAAATAATCATAAACTGATCAGAATTTAATAGCATGCAAACACTTTCAGGATATGTAAGTGTCTTTTTTACATTTGGATTTTTAATCCATCTAGAAATATCTGGTGTACATGATAAGACAGGGATCTAAAACAAATGAATTTTCATTATGGACATTTCCATATATATTCAAAGATGAAATGTTGTGATGAGCCCTATATACACATCATCTAGATTCTACAATTAACAATTCATGGCCATTTTCCCCCACAGCCTGTGGTACTGGGGATTGAACTCTAGGTTTCATGCATGATAAGCAAGTACTCTGCCACTAAGCTACATTCCTGGTCCTTTTTATTTAGTTTTAAATTTTGAGACAGAGTCTCATTAAGTTGCCCAGGTTGTCCTCAAGTTTGTGGTCCTCCTGCCTCAGCCTCTGAAGTAGCTGGGATTAACAGCGTGTGCCACACTTGGCTTCTTGGCTAGTTTATTTTTCTTCTGCATGCTGCTCTTCTGCTTCAGACTTGTGCACTCCTGACATTTGGATTCTTTTTAGAAAATCCTAGATATATTATTTCAGGCACAGATACCTTAGGCTTAATTTTCTTTGTTAAAAAAATACTTGGTAATTGCTCCAATCTCATTATCTTTTGGGTATATTGAAATCTAAAAGCAGCCTTGAGAAGTAAAGCCAAAAGACGGTGCTCTGAAAATCCAACAAAATAAAATATGAGAGAGAGAGAGAGAGAGAGAGAGAGAGAGAGAGAGAGAGAGAGAGAAGAGAAGAGAGAGGACACACAGAGAAAAAAATTACTAAAACACTACCAGGTCCAACTCTTGGCCTAAATTCTAAAAATCTGAATGAACTGAATGTTTTTCTAGGAAAATATAAATTATCAAAATTGACTCAAGAAGAAATAGAAAATCTGAACAGAACAGTAACTATAGAGAAAACTGATGAAGTTGGCAGAGTGACAGCAGATACTAGAGCTCAGTACACACACAGACGCACGCACGTCGCACACACAGCTGTTCAAGAACAGAGTTATCAGGGCTGAGGATCTGGCTCAGTGGCATAAGTGTCTGCTTGCCAAGTGTGAGGCTGTGAGTTCAATCCCTGGTCCAAAAAAAAAAACCAGAACAGAGTTATCCTGTAATAGATGGTGAGCCTCATGTCAGGGCACCTGCATGTGCCTGTCCTTCCCCACTAAGTGGTACACAGGTCCTTTCCATGGGTAGGTCCCTTTTAGGGCCTTAAAAATGCCCAGCCTTCTCTCTTTGCATGTACTTTGTATCTTTTTATTTTTCTTTTTTGCTTATACATCATCCTGTTAGCCAGGATCTGTGATCAGGCGGAAGGAGGTGCAGACCTGTGGATACATGTGCAAGGTAGAGGGGAGGCTTCTGGGGTCCAGGTGGCTCTTTACCCTGCTCCAGCCCACCCTACAGTTTCCCTCCATCTGTTAGAGCTGAGGCATGACTATGAATCACTCTTAGAAACATTTTTGTTTCAGCTCACACACCTCCTTAGCATAAGTGTGAAATTTTGCCTGAATGCAAGCAAGAGGGTGATGGGGATAGAGGGTCAGAGAGAGAAGAGGAAACAGACAAATACAAGTGACATGTATTCAAATTCCAGCACAGTCCTGTATTGTGAGCACTGTTGCAGAATGGACAGATTTTCCTTGGATTCTAGCTTCCCCACTCAGCAATCTCTAGCCCTAGCACCTGTCTCCTTTTTCAGCCTGGTCTCACGACTTTCCAGACCTGCCACACTTCTTCTCCCATCTGTGATGCCTGTCTCTGCTCTTTTCAAGTCCAGTTCAAGGTTTTCTTTGGATATGATTCTATGGGCTACACTAATCAGAGGCTGTGTATTTATTTACTAATTGATCGGCTTTCATGTGTGTTTCACTTCTTTAAAAGACCATTTCAAATGTGTCAACTCTAGCTCTTTTTTTTTTTTTGTTGAGACGGTTTCCCTATACAGTTCAGGCTAGCCTTAAACTTACTTTGTAGCCCAGGCTGGCCTTGAACTCACAGGGATCCTTCTGTCTCAGCCTCCTGAGTGCTGGGATTCCAGGTGTGTGCCACCACACCTGGCCTAACTCTTAACTCTTGTCTACTGTCATATTCTCACTTGTTGACATGGCCAGAAACACAGATGATCTTAAACTTCTATAGCTTTCACTGCCACGTGGTCACTAACAGTTCCTACAGTGGAACTGTCAGCCAGTCTTCACTTTCTGGTCACAACATCCTCTCATCCTTTCTTTGGTGAGTTGCCCCTGTCTACTCCATGTGGTTCTGGCAGGCTATGTTACCGAGCAGGGCACAGTACATGACTCCTGCCTGGTCAATCACAGTACTCCCCACCTCCCTGGCCACAGTGACAGCCCCAGAGGTGGGAAAATTCCTTAAGTAGAGCCGATACAGCCCTTCACTGAAGTTTCACCAATGAAGTCTGAGGGGTCCTCTTTTCATCCTGGGATCACATGCTGGATGAGGAAGTGATTTTTATGGTTTGTGGACTTCCGCCCACCACATGGAGAAAGTCCATATATGGGGAAGGGATAATGCGAAGGCTAGGAATGAAGCTGAGCCAAGAGCTGCTGAGAGTTCTCATACTGTTGAGAACTTGTGTATGGTCATAGCTGCTTGGGTGCAGTTATACCCAGTTATTTAAATGGTAAATATCCTTTTTGCTTAAAATAGTTGAGGTCATTTCAAATCATGAGTCCTGACAGACTCTCTCAAATCTATATTTCTAGCCTAGCATTCTCACCTAAGCTCTACTCAAACATTAAACATAACACTTACTAAGAATCTATTCTATGCCATAAACTACACCAGGCGCTGTGCTAGGTGTGTTGAAGACACAGATAAACAAGATCCAGTCCTTGTCTTTAAGTAACTTGTGATCTCCTGGGGCAGACTGATGTATTAGATGATATGTCATAAGATGAACATTATGCAAGTAGCTGGCACAGGATTCTATACTTAACTGAGCCTGAAAAATTGAATGACTGAGAACTCCCAGAGGTGGTAGAATGCAAGTTGACTCTTGAAGAACAAAGCAGAACTGCCAGGTGAAAAGGGGCAACTATAAGGACATAGGGGGAAAAAAAGCATTCTGAGCCAATGGGGTGGGGTGTACAAAGACAAGAAAGTGCGAGTATGCTTCCCTTAGAGAACTAAAGTGTAAGCTCTATAAAGGTAGAGATATATGTGTCAATCTCTGCTATACTGTCC